CCATCTATGTCTGTCTGGTATATCTGTTGTTTATTTTCTTTCTAATGTTCTGTTGTCTGTTTTTTTTTTATTTAATTTTATCTATACGTCTATCTATCTATCTATCCATTCATCCATCTATCAAGCTATCTGTCTGCCCACACATCTGTCTGTCTATCCTTCTATTTATTTAGCAATTTGTCCAATCCATCTGTCAATTCATCCCTCCATCCAACAATTTTTTCATCAATCTGTCCATGTTTCCATCTATCTTTCATCCATCATTAGTCTGTTCCATCCATCTATAATTTACTCTATCGGTCCATCCATTTCTATCTATCCATCCATCTATCCATCCATCCATCCATCTATCTATCTATCCATCCATCTATCTATCTATCCATCTATCCATCCAACTGTCCATCCATCCGTCCATCTATCTATCCATCCATCCATCCATCTCATTTTGTCATGTATACTGCACAATTTATCATTAAAAGTTCAGGAGCTTACACCCACTCAACCTAAATAATAAATGATTGTGATTTGCATATTTTGATAAATCATTTGATGCACTGCATTCAAATCTTCTTTGGACAAAGAAATTGTGTTTAATTGTTCAGACAGTATTATAAACAATGAAACCATGCAGAAGCACTGGGAGAACAGTTTATAGTTCATATAAAAATGCTGATGTTTAAGGTGAAGACTAAAAATCACGGTTTAATGCAACTTGATGCTAAAAATGAAAGTTGTAGCAATGACATTGTTTAACCAATAGGTGGCAACAACCAGCCATCAAAAATGCGTCACTGAATAATTCAAGAACGATACAACTGGCAAAGCAGCATGTTTTTATGAGTGACTTATTAAATCGTTAATTAAAAATGAGACTAAACTAAACAATGTGTTGTACAAGATTTTCATGTTAAATGTACACATTTATCGGCAACACTTTTCACAGTGTTGAAAACTTTCTGCATATTTTAATGTAATATTGATGTATGTTGCATGATGTAATGCGTCTCAATGTTGTTGCATGTAGAATGCTATCGCTAATGCTACGTCACTGGCTGAAGTGGAGCGGCTGAAGGGACTCCTGCAGGCTGGACAGATTCCAGGACGAGACCTCAGATCAGGTAGCTTTTAATTGCACACTTATGCATTAATGTAGGATTCAGTAAAGCACCAGGGATTGGAAAAATGCTTGGAAATTTAGTATAAATCTCATTCAATGTTAAACGTAATATTATGCCCCTTTTTACAAGATGTAAAATAGATGTCTGATGTCCCTAGAGTGTATGTGAAGTTTCAGCTCAAAATATCACACAGATAGCTCTCTGAAACGGCCTCTTTTAGACCTTGATCCTAGTTGTTTCATTTTGGTGACTGTCGCTTTAAATTCAAATGAGATTGAGATGTTTTCAAAAGTGGGCGGAGCTACACATGCCTGTGGCGGCATATTTGCTGATTAAAAACTAGTTCCTATGCTAATGAGGAATAGATGATCACTGGTGGGCGGGGCTTTCCCCCTCTGACACATACAAAGGGAGAATGTCGATCAAAGTGTTTCTGCAGACTCTTTATATCAAGTGTGATTATAAAAATCAGAATTAATAGATTGCTATCATTGGAATCTGGTTGTATTCACACACTGCTGGCAACCAACTGTGTTTAAAACCCTTATAAAAGTTTAAAAAGTGCTAAATGGGGTCAAAATGATCATGCTTTTACTATTTCTCAGGAGCAGGGAACATGGTGGAGGAGGAAGAAGAGGAGGAGATGTCTGAGTCTGTGCCCATGTTTGAGGACATGCAGGGAGAAAACAATGATGAAGACATGCAGGAGGAAATGCATGTGAATGGATCGTAGTTCTGTTCGGTTGTTGATGTTTCAGAATCATTTAATGCCGTTTTGATGCTGTATTTGACAGCACTTGTTTTCAGAAGTGTTGCTTTGTTTGTAAATTTAAAGTACATTAAACATTTTTTTATGAACTCGGATTTTTTGTTTTTAATTATGCTTGTCTGATTATGGGGGAAAGTGTTTGTGTTAGTTTTTCATAATATTTTGTGAACTGGAAAATATGGCCATATTATATATATGTATGTATGTATGTATGTATGCATGCATGCATGCATCCATCCATGCATACATAAACACACACACTCACGGCCACTTTATTAGGTACACTCTACTAGTACCCCTTTTGCCTTCAGAACTGCCTTAATCCTTCGTGGCATAGATTCAAGAAGGTACTGGAAACATTCCTCAGAGGCTTTGGTCCATATTGACATGCATCACGCAGTTGCTGCAGATTTTTTGGCTGCACATACATGAAGTGAATCTCCCGTTCCAACACATCCCAAAGGTGCTCTATTGGATTGAGATATGGTGACTGTGGAGGCCATTTGAGTTCAGTGAACTCATTGTCATGTTCAAGAAACCAGTCTGAGATGATTCACGCTTTATGACACATTATCCTGCTGGAGGTAATCATCTGAAGATGGTCAGCAACAATACTAAGGTAGGCTGTGGCGTTGACACAATGTTAGGTTGATAGGAATGGGTCCAAAGTGTGCAAAGAATATATCCCCCGTACCATTACACCACCATTAGAAATTTGAAATTTTGATCATTTACCAAAATAAAATATGATCATGCCTTGATTTGTAATGGTTTAATTAGGACAGTAAGGTCTGACTTTGCTTAGACAAATGTCTTGTCACTTAACTGATATAATGTCCAGTATAGAATATAAAGTCATGCTGCAGTGGAAACAGAGTGAATATTGTGTCTGACTCCATCATGAGCTTGGAGGACTGCATCCATACATCTCTGCAATGACTCAAATCACTTACTAATAAAGTCATCTGGAATGACAAAGAAATCTTCTTGCAGGACTCCCAGAGTTCATCAAGATGCTTTAGCTTCATCTTCAATGCCGCCTCCATCTTACCCCATGCTTAATGTTCATGTTTGGTGACTGGGCTGGCCAATCCTGGAGCACCTTGATCTTCTTTGCTTTCAGGATCTTTGATGTGGAGGCTGAAGTATGAGAAGGAGCGCTATCCTGCTGAAGAATTTGCCCTCTCCTGTGGTTTGTAATGTAATGGGCAGCACATCTTGATACCTCAGGCTGTTGATGTTGTCATCCACTATGCAGATCTCTCGCACACCCCCATACTGAATGTAACCCCAAACCATGATTTTTTTTCTTCACCAAACCTGACTAATGTCTGTGAGAATCTTGGCTCTATGCGGGTTCCAGTAGGTCTTCTGCAATATTTGTGCTGATCGGGACTGGAATCAACGACAAGACTTTTGTCAGGTAATGTATAACTGAAACAATGTAAAGTAAATAAAAGAAAACAAATAATGAGCATATAAATTATAATAACCTGCAGGCAAATTATCAAGTTATATAACATCTAGAAAGTCCTTTTAAAGGTTTACAGTTTTTACACATTTTAAACATTTTGTAACAATATTAGTAATTAGGGTGGTGCAGTGGGTAGCAGCACGATCGCCTCACAGCAAGAAGGTCGCTGGTTTGAGTCTCGGCTGTGTCATTTCTGTGTGGAGTTTGCATGTTCTCCCCATATTCGCATGGGTTTCCTCCGGGTGCTCAGGTTTCCCTGACAAGTCCAAAGACATGCAGTACAGGTAGATTGGTTAGGCTAAATTGTCTGTAGTGTATGTGTGAATGAGAATGTATGGATGTTTCCCAGAGATGGGTTGCAGCTGGGAAGCATCCGCTGCGTAAAACATATGCTGGAGACCCCAGAACAATAAAGGGACTATAAGCTGAAAAGAAAATGAATGAAATAATGTTAGTATGTAATTGAAATCAAGTAAGACAATCTACCCTACTGAAAAAAACAGCGTAAACCAGCCTTGGCTGGTTGGCTGGTTTTAGCTGGTCGACCAGGCTGGTTTTAGAGGGGTTTTGGTCACTTTCAGGCTGGTTTCCAGCCATTTCCAGCCTGGTCTTAGCTGGTCAGGCTGGGAGATGACCAGCTAAAACTAGCTTGACCAGCCTAGCCAGGATGGAAGCCCAGCCAAAACCAGCTTTGTCCAGCTTAAACCAGGCTGGTCAAGCTGGTTTTAGCTGGTCATTTTCTAGCCTGACCAGCAAAAACCAGGCTGGAAATAGCCAAAACCCCTCTAAAACCAGGTTGGTCAACCAGCTGAAACCAGCCAACCAGCCTAGGCTGGTTTAAGCTGGATTTTTCAGCAGGGTAGTAAATTAGGTAGTAGTGAAGGAACTTTCGATTTATTAATTATTATTTGCTTATTAAAATAAAACTGCCTGTTATGTCACACGAGGAAAAATCAATGTTAAAATACATTTTTGTTGTAAAAAAAGCACAAAAGAATCTGACCAAAATTCTTAAACATGGAATAAAAAGATGATATGATAACCTACAGGCTTCCATTTGAACGGCTCTATGCACAGCTAACATTATGATTTAAAGCCAACAATAAACTTCCGGTGAAAGCTTAATGTGACTTAATTCAATTCCACAAGGTTGCTTTTACAGCAACGATGCTGTAATGTAATTAAAATACATTCAGTTCAACAGAGTTAAGCATTCATTTAGTTGTTGAATCATAAAACGAGATGAAAGACCGTTGTAACCACTAGCATCGTCAGTAGCAACAGGCTAGCGCAGGAACTCCATTGAAAATACTGGGGTCAAATACAGCTGTCATATTTTAAAGATGTGACGGGGGGAAATGGAGTTTAATGCAGTGCTTCTTTTCCGATCTGAGACCCACGTCATATCGTATGTAAAACAGGCATTGAATATCACTGATTTTTAAAGAAATCAGATCTTAAATGTGATCATTTTATAATGGAGAGACACAAAATGTGTAAGGTAATATCCAAGCCTTTTCAAATAATTGAATAACTGAAATAACAGTCAGACTTGAAAGCAATATACGTCATAATCAAAATATAAACTTTTATTTTTATGACAGCCTTCGTAGTGCGACAAGCCTCCACGTCATCCTAACGCTGATTGGCTGTCTCACGGCTGCGGAAGTGAGTCAGTGTGGCGTTGCAGGTTAGCTCGCGTACAGCAACAAGAAGAGAATAAACATGTGTTAGTTATTATATATTTTCAAAACAATATCGTAAAACAGCTCAAAGGTGCTGTGAAGGATGGAGGCGGAGGACGGAGCGCGTGTCCGGAATGAAGATGTTCCTCCGCAGAACCAGGATCTAAGTTTCCTTCAACCGTCTGGTATGTAAACATGAGCCCAGGCTTCACTTTACTGAGCTAATACTTACCTGTGAACGGTATTTAGATGTATAATGTCAAATGTTTTGCTTTATTAATATCTAATAAGCACATGTGTGTTCGAAAAGGACTCGTCGGTAACAATGAATCGACGTTTTGTAGCGAAGTGATACGGAAATGATGAGAACACAGAAAAAGCTTGTGTATTTAGCCAGTTACTGCTTATTAGTTACAGTAGAACCTGTACTGAATTAGATGCACGAGTTATTTTTAATATTGTATGTATTAAACAGTTAACAATTCAATAATACAACAACCATATATGACAGTTCCCAATTGTTTTATTTTATTTGCAATATTTTGTTTGTAAATGCTCCAGCGTAGTATTAATTATAGTTTGTAGTATTAATTATGCTCCTGTATAGTATTAGTGAACAGTAAACTATAATAAATACTGTAGTATACTTTAGTTTTCAGTAAACTGTGGTGTTACCTTAAACATAGTTAAAGAAAGCTACCATATTGGGTAATTTGTTTGTATTAGTATCGTTGTTGTACCATATAGCAACTATAATAGTACCACAACCGGCTAATACCCCTATTATACTGTGGTTTGGTTCAAAAACACAATTCACCTATAGCGCATGTGTTCGGACTTGTGGGGGAAACCAGATAACCCAGAGGAATCCCAAACAAACATGGGGAGAACATCCAAACTGACCCAGCCGGGTCTCAAACCAGGACCTTCTTTCTGTGAGGCGATTGTCCTACCCACTGTGCCACCGTGATGCCAAAAAGAATTTTGTATTTATTTGTATATATTACTAGTATTTTATATATATATATATATATATATATATATATATATATATATATATATATATATATATATATATATAATATTATTATTATTATTTATTTTTTTATTTTTTTATTATTTGCAACTAAAAGGGCATCAGCTGCGTAAAACATGTGCTGGATAAGTTGGCGGCTCATTCCTTTGTGGCGACCCCAGATTAATAAAGGGACTAAGCTGAAAAGGAATGAATGAGTAATGAGTAACTTTCATGAAGACAATAATATATATGAGCAATTCCAGCGTTATGGATGTGACATTTGCAGTAAAAACTCAAAACATAATTTCACACAGAAAGTATATGTTGACATTGTATCGAAACTTCTGTTTATATTTTCCAAAATAGCTCACCACAGAGTTATGGTAGCAGAAAAATATCAATATGTAAACATGTTTTATATTTTAAATTAGGAAAATAAACATGCGTTATTGATGTGACAAAAAAAGTTTGCGAATTTACAATGGACAACAGATTATTTAGAAATTCTGACAGTTAAACTGCACAACCCAAAAGAAACAATGCTCATCAAACAGGTATGAATCGGCTCACTATAGAATTATAATGATTGATTTTATTTTATTTGACATTTTTGCATTCATGAAGAAAAAGGGTCGTTATGGATGACACATTTCCGTTATGGATGTGACAGCTGTGAAATAGTCACTTGTGTGATTTTGGCAAATTAAATATAATAGTTTGAAATACTGACAGATACTTTTACGAGTATTTTTACAGTACTGTAAAATACTTGCTAAAACAAAAAATGTAGAAACAGTTTGTCTATTTTGGTGAAAACTAAATTATTTTTTATGGCAACGTTGACATTTGCATGGAATTGCCCATATATATATATATATATATATATATATATATATATATATATATATATATATATATATAATTGTCTTCGTGACAGTTACTTTAATAATACAATTCATGTCAATGACAATGAGGTAGATGATAATTATTATGTTGATTTTGAAAGTTAGACTTCTTTGATGTTGAAAGCTTGTTAAAATAATGGCATGGCATCAAAGTTTCTTGATTATTACACTGGAATGATGGGAGAATATTTCCTAGCTTTATAGGCCTATAAAATATTAACTTTTATGTCAGTCTTAGTACACAATGTAACAACAGAAGAGTCAAACTCTAAATAGGAAACTAATCAATTTCATTGGCTATTTTTTTGAATGAGAAACGATCTAATCCGATTCAATGATCTATGCTAATATAAGCTAAAACGTTCGAGCTGATAGAAAGGCAACAGTAACTCAAATAACCACTCTTTACAACTGAGGTCTGCAGAAGAGCATCTCTGAACACACAACACGACCAACCTTTGGGGCAGATGGGCTACAGCAGTAGAAGACCACACCGGGTGCCGCTCCTGTCAGCTAAGAACAGGAAACTGAGGCTAAAAGTCACCAAAATTGGACAATAGAAGATTGGAAAAACGTTGTCTGGCCTGATGAGTCGATTTCCGCAGCAACATTCTGATGATATGGTCAGAATTTGGCATCAACAACAAGAAAGCATGGACCCATCCTGCCTTGTATCAACAGTTCAGGCTGGTGGTGGTGTAATGATGTGGGAGATATTTTCTTGGCACACATTGGGTCCATTAGTACCAACTGAGCATTGTGTCAACACCACAGCCGACCTGAGTATTGTTGCTGTCCATGCCATCCCTTTATGACTACAGTGTACTCATCTTCCAGGGTATTTTTTTCTCCTGGCCCGATCGGGCAAGTGGTTCAGATTTTTACTTGCCCTGCCAAAATTTTCTCTGGCCCCACCAAAAAAAGAAGTTAGCCATTTAGTTATTCAGCATAAATTTTCTTTAAATACAACTGACAATTTAAAAATGATTTAATTTAAATACAATACTGATTAGATTAAAGTAAATTGTTTCATGTGTGGTTTAGTTTAATTATTTAGTTTTTTTATGTTTTTTGTTTGTTTAAAATCCACCAAAATTCCTAATTTTATAAGCTGGCTTATTACATCAGTCTATAATACTGTCAGTATTTTTCTTATTCATTTATTTGTAAATCTTAATTTAAAATGCATTTCACTTCTTGTTCTTGCTTGATCCATCAACATAATAATCATATTAGCTGCACGAATCGCGCTTACTGGGCAAACAAGTTCTGAAACAAACGTTTGGGCATGAAAGCACGCAATTGACAAACAGTCGCAGCCAAATTAAACTTTAGTGACAAAGCAGCACTGGCCCCTATCGGGCCAGTAACCATTCTTTATACTGTCCCGAGCGTCTTGCACACTGGCCCCGGGCCAGCTGGCAGTCCTTATTGTTGAGCCCTGTCTTCTGATGGCTACTTCCAGCAGGATAACGCACCATGTCATAAAGTGTGAATCATCTCAGACTGGTTTCCTGAACATGACAATGAGTTCACTGTACTCAAATGGCCTCCACAGTCACCAGAACGCAATCCAATAGAGCACCTTTGGGATGCGGTGGAACGGGAGATTCACATCATGGATGTGCAGCCGACAAATCTGCAGCAACTGTGTGATGCTATCATGTCAACATGGAGCAAAATCTCTTAGGAATGTTTCCAGTACCTTGTTGAATCTATGCCACGAAGGATTAAGTCAGTTCTGAAGGCACAAGGGGTCCAACCCGGTACTAGAAAGGTGTACCTAATAAAGTGGCCGGAGAGTGAATAAGATTATTTTGTAGGGAGGTATCTGACTAAAATACAATAAACAGCATGCAACATGGATGCTAAAGAAATAGATTATGTTTTATGGTTTTCTGTTGAATCTTTACACTATCGAGGCAGCGAAATTCAATCATCCAATAAATAAATACAATAAATAAATCACAAGGAGCGTTTAGTTTAATATTATGTGCTGATAAAGAAAAACCATGAAATTCAATAGGGTGTTCTAACTTTTTCACTGGTGTGTACTAATTGACCTTGTGTTTTGTGTGTTTTTGCTGCAGTCACTGCGTTCATGTCGGAGTATGGCTGGTATCTGCTGTTCGGATGTGTTGGAGTGTATCTGCTCATCCAGCATCTCCGCAAGAGCAGATCCTCCACACAAACACGCAGCTCGTCTGGCTCAGCCGAGGCTCACGGTCAGAAACAACAGCGTCTGGACACTAGAATACTTAGAAATGAGTGGAGATACTGACGTGTGTGTGTGTGTGTGTGTGTGTGTTTGTGTGTGATTGGGTTTCCACGTGTGTGTGTGGTGGGTTTGCATGCATGTTTGTGATTTTGTGTGTGCGTTTAGATGTGGGGTCAGTGGTGAGGCGTCAGGAGGCTCTGGAGGCGTCCCGCAGGAGAATGCAGGAGGAGCAGGACGCCAGAGCAGCTGAGTTCAGGGAGAAACAGCGCATGGTGAGGCTCATTCATTCATTCGTTCATTTTCCTTTAGCTTAGTCCCTTATTTATTAGGGGTCACCCCAGCGGAATGAACCACCAACTATTCCAAGTAGTATCTGGATGCAAGCTGAGATTGCATCACTCAGTGATGCAATGTCAGACACAATGCACTCAATAATAATAATAATAATAATTCGTTACATTTATATAGCACTTTTCTGGGCACTCAAAGCGCTTTACACAATGGGGGGGGAATCTCCTCATCCACCACCAGTGTGCAGCATCCACCTGGATGACGCGACGGCAGCCATTTTGCGCCAGACTGCACACCACACACCAGCTGATTGGTGGAGAGGAGACAGAGTGATGATATGCCAATCATGATATGGGGAGGGTTAGGAGGCCATGATGGACAGAGGCCAGTGGGCAGATTTGGCCAGGATGCCGGCGTTAAACCCCTACTCTTTTTCGAAGGACATCCTGGGATTTTTACCGACCACAGAGAGTCGGGACCTCGGTTTAACGTCTCATCCGAAAGACGGCGCTCTCTGAGCAGTATAGAGTCCCCGTCACTATACTGGGGCATTAGGACCCACACAGACCGCAGGTTGGGCTCCCCCTGCTGGCCTCACTAACACCACTTCCGGCAGCAACCTAGCTTTCGCAAGTGGTCTCCCATCCAGGTACTGACCGGGCGCAGCCCTGCTTAGCTTCAGTGGGCGACCATGTGAAAGTTGCAGAGAGCTAGCTGCCGGCAATGGAGTGAGTGACGTCACTGTGACGGGTGGGGTTAAGTGAGCGCATTAAAAAGCTTTGGATGCAGCTCAGATTGCACTGCACCCACTATTCCAGCAAATGTTTTACACTGCGGATTCGCTTTCAGCTACAACCCAGTACTGGTAAACATTTAACACACACACACATGCACTACGGCCAATTTAGTTTATTCAGTTTACCTATAGCGCATGCAGCAACCACTTGGATGATGCGACGGCTTCCACATGACAACAGCGCCAGTGTACAATCCAGAGACAATTCAGTGTATGGGGATGATTGAGAGGCCTTTGTAGGGACGGTATACAGTTTAACCCAAATAATGACCAGTTTGTCAGATGAAGAAGAGCCAGAGTCAGAGATTCAAATAAATAAATCAAGTTTACTGAAGATAGTTTGCAGTTTCATCAGCAGAAGCCAGCTTCAACACTCGCAATGAGTTCCTAGGCTGGTCTGCTTACAATCACAAATCAATAACTATTATACTCTCACATGACGTCATTAACTGCGTCACACATACAGGTGTTCTAACCTGATTGGTTAAAACACAGATAGACTAGGAAAATATGCACGTGGGGTTTGTGCGAACAATTCTGAACAATATCTTAAAGGTGCAGTAGGTGATTGTCTTCAGAAACATGTTTTGTTGTGCTGGCTGAAAGTCTCTTCACAGTCCAATAGTTATGATTACAGTAAATGATCTAAATGTGTTTATATGTATTTTTATATTCTGGGGAAAGCATTAAACTAAAAAATGTTCATCCAATTAAATAGAGTCGGACCGTCATCTCCCTTAATTCCGATAGGCAGGTCAGACTGTCTGTCAACAAATATAGATTCTGACTTCTGCGCATCTGTTCACGCACATCCGCCATTAGCGCGTGCCCGTCTGCATCACAAACGCATGCGCGCGAGCAAGCTGCGGGTCGCTCGCAGATGCTGAGTCGGAGGCGCCGAAGGACAGCTGAACTCGGGCCGATTACTGTAAAGCCAGTCGCGGGTATAATTCGCCCTTAAAGCGGCCGCACGGTCACGAGACAGACCAGGAGAAATCAAAAGCTGAATTGAAACTTTTGAAAAACCTGAATTAATATTGGAGTTACTTTAGCATGCTGGAGGAAGGACGACACCTGTTTTAAAACACTTCTGTTTTAAAACTATTTTAGTCAGGCTAAGCTGATGTTAGATTGTGTTCTGTTATGAATGAATTACATGCACAGACGTGATTTTCAGCCACTGAAATCTCCCGGTGAAAGATTGATGTGATTATTTTCAGTTTCATAAGGTTCTTTGACAGCATCTATAATGTAGATTTAAATTTAGTTTAACAACAAAACACCAGTAAATAGCGCTATTCCGCCTAACCTGCTTTATTGAGCTGAAGTTGCTTTTATATTCACATTGGTTCATTTTTGAACAATGACAGCTATACTGTTTACCATGCTACTCTGAATATTTACTCTGAAATACCATGTAAGTGTGGCTAAGTAATAAATGTAATTCCTGCACGGCGTTGGCACTAACTAACTGGCGAATGACATCAACTAGTGGGTTGTCTGTCTGCTGTTGTGATGTGGTGCGCGCTCGCGATATCAGGGGGTGTGGCTTTGAATCACAGTTTCTCCCCGCCTCTGAAGATATTATGCTAAGCGGTTAGGATTTTGGCAGATCACCTACTGCACCTTAAAGCATAAACGTCAGACATCCACAAGACTGTTTAGAGCTGACTCCAGACCTGTGAAACAGATCCACAATCAAATAGAACACACACACCTAAAGTATAATCTGTTTCTTATCCAAGGCTGAGTGTGTTCTCAGCCGTCTTAATCAAAACTGGTTAAAAGCCGGTATAATCTACATTCAGGCAGTTTTATCCTCACCACACAAAGTCTATCTTGAATAAAAAGTAGAATCACTTTAAAAGAATTAACTGTAAAAACAGCAAAATCACTTTAGCCATTTTATAAAGTATTAACTCCTAGAATAACAACAGAAACAGCTGCTTCCAGTCCTCAGCCTAAGTTCCTCTCAAGGTCTCCGAGACCTCTGACCTAATTTGGTGGCTCCTGAAAGTAGTTATACAGAGACAGGCACTAAATATTCTTATATTAACTAATGTGTTGACTTATTAATTAGTTTAAATCAATTCAAATGTAAATACTCATCAAATATTTATATTTAATAAAACAAATTATGAGGAACAGGATGATGAAAAGGAAAAACGTTGGTCCATGATAAGACGGATTGGAAAGCAGAAATCCGAATCCTTCACCATGATGGGTAAGGACCGATTGAGGAAATTTGGCCTGGACACCGGGGTTACTATACCCCTACTCTTTAGAAGAAGTGCCATGGGGATTTTAATGACCACAGAGAGTCACGACCTCAGTTTAACATCTCTTCTGTAAGACAGTGCTAACTGACAGCATAGAGTCCCATTCACTATACTGGGGCTTAAGAACCCACTCAGACCGCAGGTTAGGCGCCCCCTGCTGGTCTCACTAACACTACTTCCGTCAGCAACCTAGTTTTCCCATGTGGTCTCCCATTCAGGTACTGACTGGGAGCAACCCTGCTTAGCTTCAGTGGGCGACCATGGGAGCAATTACAAGTTGTAACACACAATTAAATTAAATGCATATTTTGCAAACTACACAAAATGAGGCAAGAACTTTAATGACACTTGCATGTTATGATCTGGAGGAAGAAGAAACTGGTCCATTTGAACTGTAACAGTTCATGACAAAATCTGACAAGGTCCCATGCGCAGGGCCAGATGGAATCTGCGGACGTTTTTTGCTATTTCTGCGAAGAATTTTGGTAAAAATCTGCGGATTTCTGTGGAATTATTTTAGGAGTATCCAGCGGAGTATCATAACTATAACCTTAATATATGAAATAAAAAGTAACAAATTACTGAATAAAAACTGAATAAATTCAGATTTACACATTTACTCAAGTAAATAAACAGAATTAATGATGGGCTAAAAATCTACAGAAATCTGCGGAAAATCTGCGGAATTCTGCACGTGCAGATTCCGTCTGGGCCTATCCATGTGTAATAGTCTCTGCTGCTACTTTCCCCGCGATCCGCTAGTGTCTGAAAACACTAATTCACGGTTTACCGGATCTGGCACTACATATTTGGTGATGTACTGTATCAGGGAAAAGATTCGAACCCAACATGATTTATTTATTCGACTCCGAGTTGACTATTTTGTTAAAGAATCAATCATTTTAAACACAGTGATTTAACCCTCAGCTGGATGTTTTCATTTAATTAAAGCTGTTACACACTGCATGGAAGCTCCCTTAATCCCATAATAGTTGCTCTTTAAGCACAAGTTATATCAAGATTTATTATAATAAACAAGCTGCATTAAATTATGATGAATTCATAAAATGTTCTGTGTGTGCGTATACACACAGTGTAGCCATATCAGAACGGCCCAAAACTCTAAACTGGCTCGAATAACAACAACAACAATTAAAGTTTGAGCCGAACATATGAAAGACACAGACGATTGAATTAATAAATTCACGTCCCGTCAATACTCTTTAATTGTCATTAATCATAAGTTTCCAAAAGAGATAAAACATTAACAAAAATTAAGTAGACGGGTGAGGCAACTAAGGAAAACATGTCTCTGATTATACTGTTTTTAAATGAATAAATCTTACCTACAACTCCCGTGAAAGGAATAAAAACAGGTAAGTCTTCCGGGCCACTGCTTACCTTCACCAAACTAAATAAATAACAAAACGTGACTATGTTTTCGTGGCAGATAGTGGTTTATTTTTCAAAGTATCAAAATAAACAAGCTAGTTAACACATTACGAAGTAAAGAATAAAAAGGTTAACAAGAACAAAACACTAAAGAGGGCGGCATGTAGGATCGCCTGGCATGCGGAGAGAGACTGAGCTGCCATTGCTGTCAGCCTTATATACTGGGAATCCCCAGTGATGTCACGGGCGTCATCCAATCCTGGACAAGCCGGCTAGAAAAGCTCCTCCTATAACTCAAGCAACAAGCACAAACCCGCAACACATAAATAACTGAATTACATAAAACGCAGACCCGCGTAACAGATGTGTTTTAAAGAAATACTGCACTGTGAACTTGGCGTCTGTGTTGATTATCTTTTGGTTCTTCATCTCTTCAGCTGGAGGAGGAGAAGAGGAGGCAGAAGATCGAGATGTGGGACAGCATGCAGGAAGGAAAGAGTTACAAAGGGAGCGCTAAAGTTGCACAAGTAAGACATCTGTCAGTGATATTTCTGTCAGATTACATGTGATTTTACAGATGATTTCTCATTTTCAGCAGAACACAGAAGAGGCGGCTTCATCCAGCTCGCTGAGACCAAAGACAGAGAAGAAACCCCTGCGCAGCAGTGGTATGAACGCTTTACATAAAGTGTGTGACTGTGTGTCATTTTCTTTGATAACAATCATTAAACCATATTTAGCTTAGTGTGTTTTTGTGATGGTCTGATTTGGTTTAAAGTGAGAGTTCACAGAAAAAAAAGAGAATTTACTCGCTGCTTACTCTCCCCTGAAGAGAGGAACGTTTTTATTTGTTTATTTTGATATTATTTATTTATTTTATTTGTTATGTTTTTATTTGTTTATTTATTTGTTTATTTTTTTATTTGTTTTTTATTTTTAAATTTTGTTATTTGTTTTTATTTATTTAATTAGTTACTTTAGTTACATTTTTATAATTTTTTTAAATTTTAAATAATTTATTTATAATTTATAATTTTTATTTTAATTAATTTGTTTAATATTTTAATTCAATTATTATTTATTTATTTGTGTTTATTTAAATTTTTATTTATTTATTTACTATTACTTGTTTTTATTTTTGTATTTGTTGTTTATTTGTTTTTTTATTTAACAATTTACCTATTTTTTATTTTTTTAAATTGAAATTATTTATATTTATTTATTTATTTTATAATATTATTATTATTATTATTTTTTTAATTCAATTATTTATTTATTTGTTAATTATTTAATTTTTTTGTTTTTATTTTTATTTTTTGTTATTTATTTGTTTGTATTTAATTATTTACTTTTTATAATTTGTTTACATTTTAATTTATTTATAATTTATTTGTTTATTTTTTTAATTAGTTTATTCTTTTAATACAATTATTTATTTATTTATTTATTTTAAAAATGTATTTGTTATTTATTGTTTTTTTACTTTATATTTTTTCTACTTTATTTAAATTCTTAATTCTTAATTTAAAATTACATTTTAAATTATTTGTTTTTAACTTTTGTTTAATGATATTTTTATACTTTATTAAAATGTTAAATAATTTATTTATAATCATATATTATTTTTTTATTTTAATTAATTATAACTTTTCAATTATTTATTTAATGTATTTATATATTTTTTTAAATATTTGTTTGTATTCATTTTTACTTTATTATTTTTATATATTTATTATTTTACTATGTGTATTAAATATATTATTACTAACTATATTGTTAAAAAAATAACTTTCTAAATACTGCTAGAATGTAAATTTTCATAGTAAAGCTGTCATTTATTAAGGCTTCACAATTCTGCACATTAACCTGAGATCTACTCTTCCATTCTCTGCTGTCGTTTATATTTGCTTCAATAATGAAAGTGTGTACATGTGTTTTGCCTGTGTTCATTTGTGTGGGTGTGTGTATTGTAGGCTACAGTCCTCTGTCAGGAGACGCTGGAGGCTCGTGCTCCTGGAGGCCCGGCCGCAGAGGCCCGTCTGCTGGAGGATGAGGATAAACGCCCGTCAGACTCGTCTCTGACGCTCCCACAGGAACACACACATCTATATCTGAATGAAGCTGTCAGCCTCATCACTGCACAATAACTCCCATAATACACACAATACAGAATCATTGCATTTCCAATCATGCATACTGTTACTTTTAGTCACACTTTACAATAAGGTTTCATAACTGAAGTATTTACTTACTTATAATGAACAATACTAGTACAGCATTTGTTAATCATAGTTCAACATTACCTAATGCATTATTCAAATCCTAAATCATCATCGTTAACACTATGAGCTAGCATTAAATGGCTTTATTTTCATGAACTAACATTAACAGAGCTAAATACTGTAATATATTGTTTATGTAAGTAAATATTAACTAATATGTCCTATTGTAAACCATATTAACCTATTTATTTATATTACTCAACAAATATATGTATTCTTAAATGAATATACTGTAGTGCGCAGCTTAAAACAAACATATTCAGTTAAATTAAAGGTTAAATTACACAATAATGCTTAAAATAGACAATTATATACTTCTTTTATGCATAATAATCACATTTGCGATCAAAATGACGTCAATATCCACATTTGTTTTTCTTTTCTGCCTTGTAAATGATTTTTAAACAAGTGTTTTTCACTTTCTTTATGATTATTATGATGGTTATTATGCCAGTGTATGATTGACGGCTTCAGATGACGCCTCCTCACCAAAGGTATTATTTACTCCCGAGGCGGCTGATGAGTTTCAGTAATGAAACGTGTTCCTCTTTTTTTATTTCGTTGTTGCTTTTGCACTTAAATGCTGTGCTAAATACAAATCTAGAGGGATTTAAAGGGGGCAGATCACTCAAAAATGAAAGTTTCCTTGTTTACTTACTCACCTACAGAACATGCAAGATCGTAGGCACTTTCTTTCTTCTTCAGCAGAACATTAAAGAAGCGTTTAAGCTGAATCTGACGTGATTCATATAATGAAAATAAATGGTGAGCAGTTTTTTTTTACATTAATAATAAACGCATATCAATGAGTCCAAGTCAGTAGTCATGGCACACTGAGGTTTCTAGAAGTAAAATGATTGGTCTGTGTAAGACATTAAACATGATGCACAATATTATTACCTTAAATCCACAGCCTGCTCAATGTAGTCCAATTGTAACTTCAATTACAAATACGGAAGAAAGCATGCTAGGATGGAGGAAATCAAAAGAGAAATATATTCATCATCAAAGGTGCCTAGACCAGGGGTCACCAACCCTGTTCCTGGAGAGCTGCCTTCCTGCAGAATTCAGTCCCAACCCTGATCAAACACACCTGAACCAATTAATAGTACCTAAAGCAGCACTTGATAATTACAAACAGGTGTGTTTGGTCAGGGTTGCAACTGAAATGTGCAGGAAGGTAGATCTCCAGGAACAGGGTTGGTGACCCCTGGCCTAGACTACATTTACATAAGAATAGAGATGCACTGATTTATTGGTTAAATTGTGTTTT